CTTCAAAGATCGGAAGAAAATAATAATGCATTAGATTCAACACAAACAAAAATATCCAAAAGAAATGTCGGCTTCAGGATACAAATCGCACAACAAATCTGTATTTTGGAGTGTTGTACTTGTTCTTGTCTTGATTGATGAGACGAATTCTTGCCCGGTAATCAGTCTTCCCCTCTAAATTGGAAATAATTAACCTCAATAAGCTGTATAATTTAAAGAAACATAAAAAAGACAAACGAAACAGCTACTGATATTTTACGTCTCCTTCTCTTGAATTTGACTTGGAAACGCTTGAAGTATGCATTCGACTTCTGGGCTTTGACAAAAGCCTGCAAACAACATCACTCATCATTAGCAAACACAAAATACTTCATGATTTAAATCGTTAGCAATCAACACTCAGCAACCAAAGCTTCACCACAACATAATGCTGTGAATTGGGCAGGTTCACTCACCTCCAACTCATCCTAAAACCCTTTTTCTTAGATAATAAACAGAAATTCATAGAGCAACAGAATTTCCAACTGATATTCAGATCTTCAAAAGCAAATCACTTAAAAAAATTCTTGATGATACAGTAAAACAATAAAAACAGAATCTTTTCGAACTACAAACAGAGATAGGTTCTTGAGTATATGATTGTGATATCGTGCTGCTTCGAACCATCAATGCTAAACGGCAATTAAACGAAGGACAAATGAGCAATGCTAAACGGCAAGACAAACATTCTTATATTTTGCTTCACTTTCTCACCATTGATCCTTGATCGAAGGCGCTGCTGCCCTGAGTGAATTCTACAAATGTTGGGGAAAAGGAAGAGTGAGCTGCGTCGGACCTAAAATAGGGTTGAATAAAACCCTAGCGGGCTGGCCCATTTTCCACAACAAATTTCAAAGTAATTGGGTTCGATCATGGGCCACACTTTGGATAATAAATAGGCCTACATTATTTCAGCAGTTTGGACCATAATTATTGTATTCATCGGACATAAATCTAGTGGTTTAAATGGACGACTCAAATTGATATATAAACAATAAACAACTAGTATAAAACTCGTGTATTACACAGGTGTTTGTTATTTTTTTAAAATTCAAAATTAATGAAAAAAAGTGGTATAAAATTTAAATACTTTTTATAAAAATATGTATATTATTATTATATACTTTATTAAGACACTTATTACTTGTGCGACTTACATGTGTCATGTTATAATATCTAACTTATAACATATAACTACTTAAACATAAATATATTAATTGAAAAATAATTTTATTTTTATAAATAATTTTAATGAATAATTTTGTTTTTATTATAAAAATAAATGTAATTTTTTTATTTTTTACATACAATATGGATGTCAAATCGAAGCTCATCAAAAGACGATTAATTTGATATATTATATATGTAAAACTGATAAGAAATACAAAATTTATCAACTTTTAAGTTATATTTACAATTCAATTATTATAATAAGAACAACCTTACGATGTTCAAACAGAATACTGAAAGTAAGACGCCAAAAGCATATTCAAACCATGTATAACAGATGGAGAATGCAAGGTGTACGTTCATCTAAGCTGCAACATGGCCACCATATATGTATTTGTGGTGGAAGGTTTAAATGAATGAATATGGAAGTTATAACAAAATTGAGATCAATCCATCCGTTTTTGGAATTCTTTATCAACCATAACTTAATGGAATATCGGTTTTGCTATGAAGTCAACATTTGGCTCTATAGTGGAGTCAACTATCTATACAGCAAGTAAATCTACCATATTTGCTGATTACTTAAATAACACTAATATAATTTTATTAATATGGTAGGTTTTACCATATTTGCTGATTACTTAAATAATATTAATATAATTTTATTAATATGGTAGGTTTTGTTGTTGTATAAAGTTGGCTCCACTATGGAGCCAACTGTTGGCTTTATAGCAATATTGTTTGGTTTAAATCTGAATTATTGGATTTTGAGGATCATTAACTTCTTTAAAAAATTATAGTTATGTTTAAATTTTTGATTTTAAGGATGATTTGAATGTTTACAGGTTTTATAGTTGTGTTTGTCTTTAATTTAGGCCATAACTTCATAAATTTATTTTATTACATAAAATTCCTAATCAAATTTGAAATAATAATGTTGAAGATTAAGTTATAAAGTTGTATTTTGCTGACTATCTTGTTTGGTAACAAACTTATTTGAATAACTTTTTGTACCCTACGTCGTAAGGGTATGTTTGGTAAAATACAGTTCATAAGTATTATCATCTCAGCTAGTTTTTCAGCGACCAACCATAAATTATTTGCTTTTAGCTTCGCTTAGTGTGTTTGGTAAGCACAATAAGTTAGCTTATAGCTAATATGACTAGTTTATAAGTAATGAGCCTTTTGTAAGTTTCGCTCGGTAGGACGAGCTTTTTTTAAAAAAACCCGAGTTTATCACATAAGTATCGTTGTGTAATCTTTCAAATAAGTCTATTGAGATTTCCATTTTAGTTGGCTTATCAGTTAATTTTACCAAATATTTTTATAATATCAATTAGTTTTTCAACCATAAGCCATAAGTTATAAAATATAAACTCGAAATTCACTTATAAATTATCAACTAACTTATCAGCTATCAGCTAGTTTTACCAAACACGAAATTAGTAAATTGTCATGGAGACTATTTTGATTGAAAAAAAAAATGTGAGTTCCAATTTCCTTTCTTACTAAATTTTTAATTGTTTGATAGTTTTTTCCTAATATTTTTAGCAAATTCTTATTTTTTTAAATATAATAAATATTTAATGGCACAACTTCTGGTTATGTTATCCCCTCAACAGGAATCAGGCAGGAGGACCTTCATTCTAATTTTAGAGATTTTGTCTTTTCTTATCTCCTCTGAAATAAAAAACAAGAATCTTTCTGGTACTCCATGTCATGTTTCATGTTGCCTAAACCAACAACAAAGAAGTTGGCTCAACATACTGCAAACTATTGGTGGAGCTCATTAGAGGCGGAAAAGAAAAGTATACACTGGAGTTCATTGAGAAAAGCTGGCATTTCCTAAGAGCACACGATGAATTGGGTTGAAAGATTTTCATCTATGAACAAAGCCCTTATAGCTAGATGGATTTGGAGAATGCTCAAGAACGTAAACTCATTGGTCAGTAAGGTGCTCAAGGCTAGATATTTCCAGAGAGACGACTTTTTCAATGCCAAGAAGAAGGCGGGTAACTCGCGGATGTGGAACTCTTGGATCTCGGTTAGAGACTCTTTACCACAAAGCTTTAGATATATCATCAAAAGTGGTAAAGACATCAACATATGAGAGGAACCGTGGATCCCTAATATCCCTGGCTTTAAACTTGTGACCAACCCTCAGTTTGGTGAATGAGCTTATGGATTATTCAAGTAGAAGATGGGATAAAGAGTTGATAGAGAGATGTTTTACAAAAAAGGAAGGTGTTGAATTCTGAAAATCAAGGAGTTGGACCCGAGTGCAGAAGATAAACTTCAGTGGGAAGGGATAAGAATGGGAATTTCACAGTTGGAGCAGCTTATTCAACATTAATGAAGGAGAAGTGTGAAAGGATGGGATGGGCAGAGAGTAGCTATAACATTGTTGAGTTGAAGAACATGAGAAAAAAAAATTGGCATATGAAGATACAAGGTAAAATCAAATATTTTATATGGAAATGTAGTGAAGGAGTCCTACCGGTTAACATTAATTTGAGGAAAAAAGGGCTGGGATTGGGTTTCATTTGCAAAGCTTGTGGGGAGGAGCCTGAATCTATTAAGCATCTTTTTTTTCCATTGCCCTAAATCTCAGCAAATTTGGAAGCTCTCACCTATCAGTTGGGATAATATGAGCAGTCATAGGGACACTTTCAAAAGCTGGTGGACTCATTTATGTTCTATCAAAGCTTCAAGTACTTCTGAGGATAGGCTACAACTCACTGCATATACACTTTGGTGGATCTAGAAAGCAAGAAATGTGTGGACTTTCAAAAATCTTTGGAGATCTGAGCATAACTTGGTCAACAAAGCTGTGGCAGAGTGGTTGCTGTTTTGTGAAGCTGTGAGGATGTCTTCAGCTACTTAATCTAGTGTATTTTCCTTCTTTTGTTTCTTTTTCTGGGTTCTTTGTACAGTGATGTATATTAGTTATTTCTGGGTTTGGCTTTTCTGTTGCCTTTGGCTAGGTCCTTCGGGTTCAGTGGTCAGTTGCTTTTATTAGTTGCCTTGTTGTACCGGGGAATGAAGCTCGAGCCACCGAGCTCTGTGTGTTGGTCACTGTCGGTGGTAAGGGTTTCATTCTCTTCTTTCCTTATTTTGTCTAGGGCACTTCTGTGAAGTGTTTCCTCATCGTAACTTTGGGTTGTTTGTAGGCTTTGTAGCCATCGGTGTAATAGTTTGTGCTTGGAGATATAAATCTATCGTTTAGAAAAAAAAAAATATTAATAAATGGATTACTTAACAAATATGAGAGTCAGGACATTAATTATAGTAACTAATGAGAAATTTTTATAATTCATCAAACGGTAAACATATCAATTCTTTTAAAGAAAACACTCGCATAGATTATGATCCCCCGATAAAAGTCAAAATACTTTTTAAGAAAACCAACAAGGTAAATTAAGAACGTAGATTAGAACTCAATAAACTTAAGTTTACATAAGCGATTAAATTTCAAAGTGATAAACGTGTATTAACACTAGAATTCTACGCTGGGAATATATTGTGATAAAACATAGAGATACACATGCAGGATTTCAATTTTTTTTTTTTTTTTTTTGGGTCAAATGGTGGTATCCCGACATTCATCCGGATTTCAAGAGTCAATTTTTTCATCACATTAGCTAAAGAAACCCACAACAGAATCCTCATACACATAACACAGCCAAATGTTTTAAAACTCATGAACCCACGAAAAAAGGTTGATAAATATCCTGTAAATCAAAACAATACTCAAGACATTTCATAGTAACTCGGTCCATCATTTGATGTCCTCACTCATCATCCTCCTCGTCCTCATCATCATTTCCCGCTGCAGCATTGAGAGCATTCAACCTCTCAATCAGCTTAGCCTTTCTCTCTTCATATGTCAACTTCTTCAGGTTGAATCTGTAAAAGCATTTCAATAAATGTATTGTAATCCGATCCTAATGATCCACTAAATGACTTAACACAAAAGCAAGCTTTTCAAGACATTGAACACGGGTGACTTGAAATATTTCACCCCAACCAAAGGATCCATGAGAATTTGTGATGAATTAAAAACGAGAAAGTAATGTGTTATTGCTTTAGCATCGACCAATTGTGCAAAGCGCATCCATAAGAATTGATATAAATTATCATTAAAGATTACCATGTATATATATATAATGTATGTATATATATATATATATAAATAGATAGATGAATACTAAAAAAAAGTAACATCTAACCTTTTGTGCTCTTTAGGAGGCTGCTTTTGAGATTTCTTTTCTGTGGGGTCTGCACGAATGGCTGCATGTACCTTCTTGTACAAAGCCTCTATGTTATCAGCTTCAACACCCTTCTTGATATACTGGCTGAACACAGACTGGTACTTCTCGGGTTCATCTTCCATCAAAGTCTACAATATTCAAAATCACACAATTACTTTGACAGAGACCAGCATTGATTAATGACTTGTTATGTTGATCACCAAAAACTACGACACTAGAAGTGTATTCAAGCAATGTATAAAAATGAAATAACAGTGAAATCAAAATTTACGTTCATGTAAGCTGCAACATGGCCACCATAGATATACTTGCGGTGCACTTCAGGATCGAGTTGCTTGTTGTCCTTGTTAAATCCAGCAAACCTCTTATCACTGTGAGGAATATCGAGTCCACCATCAAGAGCTCCCTGCATCATAACATAATATTTTTTTAAAAAAAAGGAAAAAAGTAAAAGAAAGAGAACTCTGGGAACAAAAATATCCAGAGTAAGAAACATCTTTCTTGAATGACACTTCATTGTATAAATTAATAATAACTAAGGCTGCTAAGAGTGACAACAAGAAGACAAATTCGAAACATCACAATCAATTGAATGGAATGATCAGCATAATTTAGCATAGTATTCATAAAACTAATTAATGCTTAAGGATACCACATCCAAGCAGTAAGTCACATAAACCACAACTGCTAATCAAGCCTGAATGTACCTTGAGTGCACCAAAGACACGGTTCCCGGTTGTGGTTCTCAAAAGACCCACATCAAGGAGTGCACGGAAGGGCCTCCTGCTTTCAGCTGGTTCGACCGAATAATCCTCTCCGGTGGCCTGAAAAGGTATGGCAAACGTCAGTCACACTACAAACACATAGCAAACCCTAACAATCATACAAGCACACTAAAAGGCGATCAGGCATATAAATGACCTGGACACAAATGTACTTACCTCAACATTTCCTTCATACTCTTGATCCATTTCAAGCTTTTTCAGCACTCGGCGGGCCAGAAGCAGTCCAGTGCAGTAAGCTAGTACAAAGATATTATTCAATTCCTACTAACAATAAAACATAGTTTACTACAATCTTTAGCTAATAAAAAATGACAATACCAGCAGCATAGTTGGTGAGGCCAACTTCAAGGCCATAACGGGGCAGTTCATGTGCATAGGCAGCAGAAAGAACATGGTCACCAGTGATGCTAGCGGACACAACTTGAGCAATTATATCTTTGTTTGTCTAAAAATTATGTTAAGGTACAACAAACATTGGCTCAAGACGCAACCAAACAATGGTGATACATAATAACATGTAATCCATCTTAACATAATTTTAGTGATAAATAGTGAACCTCAACAGAAGAAAAATAAGTGAATCAAGTCTGGCATGCCTAAGAAGAAAGAGATAATCATAGTATGACAGGAAATAAACAAGATTAATGCATATAGCATTGCATACGAAAAAACTAATCAATGCATCAGTGCTTCCAAGATTGGAAGAAAATAATAATGCATTAGATTCAACACAAACAAAAATATCCAAAAGCAATATCGGCTTCGGGATACAAATCGCACAACAAATCTGTATTTTGGAGTGTTGTACTTGTTCTTGTCTTGATTGATGAGACGAATTCTTGCCCGGTAATCAGTCTTCCCCTCTGAGTTGGAAATTAGCAATAGTCAAAATAAGCTGTATAAATAAATAAACACAAGAAAAACAAGCCAGTTACTGGTGTTTTACGTCTCCTTCTCTTGAATTTGACTTGGAAACGCTTGAAGTAGGCGTTCGACTTCTGGGCTTTGACAAATGCCTGCAAACAACATCACCCATCATTCAAACATACTACATTAATAAACACTCCATAGTTCAAATCGTTAACAATCACGCTCCGAAAACAAAGCTATACCACAAACAGAAACTTCCTATAGGGGTGACAACATCCCGTGATACGAGAACGTTCAATAACCTCTGACTTATCCAAAAACATTTAACTCTTAGTAGCCCAGAAAAAACAGAAACAAAATCCATTTAACAGGGAGCAGTAGAATTTCAAACAGATACTATAAAATCTTCAAAAAGGAAAAACTACTGTAACAAAAATCCCGAAATATGCTAGCAAAAAGCCCGATATATGCAATAAATGAATAAAAATATAATCTTTTCGAACTACAATCACAGAGATAGGGACTTCAATACATCATTATGATATCGTGCAGCTTCGAACCATCAACTACGATTAAAACTACACAAACATATAACGAGAAGCTCGATCATATCTAAAACCCACTAAACGTGCGGTAATTCAACAAGTTATCGCAGTATTCAACAGCAGACAACGAAAAAAATGAACAATGCTAAACGGGAAAAAAAAATAAAAAAAATATTCTTATATTTTCTTCATTTTCTCACCATTGATGCGAAGCCGCTGCAGACTGAGAGAGAATTCTACAAATGTTCGAGGGAGAAAAGGCTGAGTGAGTGAGCTGCGTGAGACCTAAAATAGGGGTGAAGAAAACCCTACAAAGAGTGTAATTTGGTATTTATTGGGCCTGTCATTTGGGCTGATGAAGCCTGTTAATAGATTAAAAAAAAGTATGAAATTTTAATTTATTAAATTTTAAATATTGTAAAATTTTCCTCAATAACTAATTATGTTTCCAAATGGTTATTCGAAAAAAAAAAATTATTTTCTATTATAAAATTGTTGTGATCTCAATCTCTTTCCTATGAATGCAATTTAATAAAATTATTTTTCTTAATTTTTTGTTTCCAAAAATGGTTGTATGAATACATATCAATTATTATTTTAAATTATTTAAACCAAATACATCTTATTATATGTACATGTATCTTTTATATTGTATTTTGTATTAATAACTTAAAATTAATTACATAGTTTTAAGTCAGTATAACATAAAAAAAAATTAAATTTATTTTATATATGCATAATTAACTAATAAACTTATTAAAACTTTAAAAGTACTAATTAATTATTTTTACATACGTTAATATGTCTGTCAAGTTATCTATAATAATATGTAGAAAACTAAAATGTTATTATCTAAAATGGTATTTGTACATACGTTGGGCTTTGTGCGTCCGCGCGTGAGCTTAATTATCCTGTTGGGATCGTACACTTGGACATTTCTTTTGGGAACGTTTTCGTAGTTTTTCGTTTGTGTTTGTGTAGTTGATTTTGTGTAGTTGCGTGTTTGTTATTCTAGCGTTGCTAAACAAGCTTTAGGCGGTCTTCGGATCTATCTTATCAATCTTTCCAACATTTGGTTGTACTTTTCAACTTTTGGTTATTTTCTCTTCCCACGATATGCGGTCTTTAGTTATATAATATCGAAAAAAAAAATGTTACACAATGTGCTACTACTTTGGAAAACAATAAATCACTACTTGCAATTTGTGCATACATACTGATATATGATAATTTGTAATTATTAGCCATTGTTAAGCTATGGTTACCTAATGGATCAACTAAACAGTCTTTGCAAGATTTTCTGCATATGAAGTTTCGAAGAATACTTTATTATTGAACATGGGATACAATTACTTCTTGACAGCACTTAATGTTTACTTCAAATATAATGTCACTGTAAGTTGATTATGTTCCAGTTTAAATTGTCATGTCTTTTTATTAAGTTTTAAATCCTCATGAACATGTTACATCATGCAGGAAGTTCTGAAGATTTAGTTACAATTAGAAATTGCCTTTCTGAGAGAGCTGCATATGTAGCATCTAATCCTGAAAAATATCCTTTGGGAGGCATTATCACAGCCATTCAAAATGCTTTTCATACAACCCAATCCACCAACTCGAATGCTCGGGTCATGCCTTGCAGGAACTTCACATATGCTTCCATAAGGATTTCTCGGTAAGTTATCGATCTCTCTCCCTCCCTCTTCTCATGTATGCTCTTGTAAACATCATTTTCTATTTCTTTGCTTGTAATTTTGAGAGACGTGTTGTTTGCAGACTCGGGATTGCGCAGCTGGTGCAAACACTGAAAGTGACACAGTCAATTCGAGCAAGTCGTGCCCCAAATACATTAGCTTGCAAGAATATGTGTCACTGAGTGAGATTTCTTCACTTTTTTTCTTTTGAAAGCCATTCCACAGCAATAACAAAGTAGTTTCAAATTCTCAATATCACAAAGCATCCCCAGCTTCAAATAAACACAGCAAAAGCATCCCATTAACATAAGCATCTGATTAACGTATCCACTGCTTATTCCCCACACATTGAAAGATAATATTGCAGTCCAACTGCAAACGACTCGCGAAAATAAACTAGACACTATAGGCTATAGCTTAATCATATTTAAGTTTCGAGTAAAACGGTAAGCGAACATTGACCATTAAGTAGCCTCAGTAAACAAGCATTGTCATGCCTTCCACGGTTTCCCTTGAGTAAAGCTCATTCGCTCCTGCACACACAAGTAAAGAAAAAGAAACAACACTTAGCACTTAAAACATTTAGATCCCAGGCAACCAAAAAAAAAAAAAAAATAAGACCTTTCAGAATAAAGTAGCCAATTATCTTCAACCTCACAAGCACCCACCTTAAGGTATAACAAAATCCAACTTATGTTTTTGCATTTTCTTAGTAAGTATAACATATTGAGGTCTAGCAGTAAGAAAATAGAAACACATATCACGAGAAAATTTTTTAATTTCAAAATATAGCCAATATAAATCTCAAGATAGTTTTAGCAACTAAACCTAAGACGTTACAGAAATTTAAAGTCCAGAATCCAAGTAGTCTTCTTTGTGTCATTTCCTATATAACTCCAAACTCAATCGTGTGGCCATTGTTTTAAGAAGTTTTGATCCACACCTTTGAAAGTATATGGCCAAAATTGCAACTTGCAATAGTATATGGCCAAATTGCAACTTGTTAAATACACAAAAAAATTTGAAAAAACCAACGAGTTTATATGAATTAAACAGTCTTCTCTGCATGCAAGGACCACTACTTTTACTTTATACTCAGAGTAATGCATTTGATTAAAATCGTTATTTATATTTTGTAATGCAAAAAAATGAGGCCACGTAAATAAGTCTCTTATCCCCAAGAAAATAAGGCAAACTCAATTATGACATTATCTAAATGAGGCACGCATGTTGTCATGTAAAATATCCTCTTTGTGGCTATATATATGTTTGTTTGCCAACAGCCTAGAATATGAATCAACTCAATCACCTGCCCAAAAAAAAAAAAAACAATGGAGAATAATTATGCTTTCTTCATCTTCTCTACCCTGCTAATTATAATACTCAGCAGCACCATTAACAGTAAAACATCCTTAGCCGACACAACCGACAAAAACGCACTTGTCCAATTCAAAACTTCCATCACCTCCGACCCTTACCGTCGCTTGGCCACAAACTGGTCGATCGATACCTCTTCCTCCTCTGTTTGTCAATGGATTGGTGTTTCATGCGGCACCAAACACAATAACAGAGTCACCGGCCTTAACATTTCCGGTTTTGGCCTCAGAGGAACTCTGTCCCCACATCTTGGGAACTTGACGTTTTTAAGATACTTAGACATCAGTTATAATAATTTCACGGGGCCCATACCTCGTGAGCTGTCTCATCTGCGCCGCCTGAGGTCTATAGATATGGGATTCAACTCGTTTGCCGGACAAATACCAACCTGGTTTGGGGAGTTAACTCAACTCGAGATAATGCGTCTGAACAACAACACATTCACAGGTAGAAATCCCTAAGGACATTGGCAATTGTTATTCCCTCCAAATATTAGTTATGAACATTTTTTCCAATTTGTACTATACGTGTTCTTTGGACTTTGAAGCAACATACAGTATTTTTCGTGGTAAAATTCAACCAAAACTTGGTAAAAATAGACACCTGTATAATCAAGGTATAGGCGAGTTTGTAAATTATGAATGCTCATGAAGTTCATGTTGCATATTACTATATGTTGCAAAGTCCAAAAAACACTCATAATACAAGTTGCAGGCATTGTTTTAACTACGTCTCCTCTGATTCTGCGTGTAATATAAATTATTAATGAAATTAAACTTTTATCCTCATCACATTACTTAGCACCACCAGATATAAATGACATAATAATTTTTTCCTTACACACCAATAAAGAAAAAAAAAATATTTTGAAGAAAATGTTTCCAACTGAACCTCATGTTCCCAGAACAAAACCATTACGTTGGATATCACTAATCAATGCAAAACCATTGTTTTAAGAATAATGCAGTGGCTTTCTTATTTGATTAATGCAGTTTCACAATGATAAACTATATTACCGACAATTTTTCAGGGTCCATAC